CCTTACTCTAGAGATCTAACCTTATCTCAGAGCCTGCAGCTCTGACACTGTGGGACCCTGGCACACAAACATCCAGCACAAGGTTCCCTCCAGGGGGGTGTCTGGCAGCCCAGAAGAACGGCAGTGTCATCAGCCCCCTTTCTGCAGCACCTAGGAGAGCAGGACAGAATTTTCCAGCCACATCTTAACCCTCTCCTCCAGAACCCAGCAGCAATATGGGATCATCTGGAAAAAACAAAGGAAGGATAGGCTTTCACCTGTAGCCTTGTGGGTAAAATGCTTAGCAAGCTTTGGAAGTAGAACACTACTGAGAATTGGAGCAGTGACCCATCATCACTTGCAGTTTGCTGGCACAAGCGGCTTCACAGAACATCTGAATCTTGTAATTTCTCTTTGCATTGTGAATTATTAAGTCCCTCAGGCTAAGATTACTAGTTTAGGCAGTCCTGAAGATGGAAAGCATCTACTTTGTGTACATCACTTGAAGAAAAAATAGTATAATACCACCTTCCTATTTTACAGGCAGGTACAGGGTAGGAATTCAGTGCCTTTCCCAGAGTCACTCTAAAGTAAGTCTCCAGTGGCAGTGGTAACTGAGGGTGAGATAACACCTTGGGAAAAGAAAAAACCAACACATCACATAAGATCCACATAACTGAATTTTAAAGAGAGCAGTGGGTTTGACATGAATCTCTTACTCCAGTTGTCCAGGACCTTGCTGCTCCTATTGATATGTAACTGGCCAGTGACACAGAAGTCAGTTTTTGTGTGAAAGTCCAAGCCAGAACTACCCTGGAAGGAAGTACTTGAGAGACAAATGCCTTTAGTAAAATGACAGGTTGGAACAGTAAAGTCATACAGAAGATAAAACCTTGGGTGCAAGCCCTCAAGGGACACTGGCTGTGGGGTGCAACAGCAGCAGTTTACAAGTCAACAGTTTCAGAAAAAGGTTATTTTCTTGGTCTCATTTCAGGCTTCCCAGCTAATATCCATCTCTCTTCCTTGATTCTAAGCACAATTCTCTGCGTGGCAAAACAGGGGACTTTGCCTACCCCTGCTCTCCAGGGCTGCCATGGGAACTCCTGGCCAGAGAGAGGAGAAGCCAGCAGCAGCAGCAGGATTCCAGCTGCTGATGGACTGGGGTGTAGAAGGCAGCAGGCAGAGCCAGTTCAGCTCCAGTTGGGGAAGGAGGGCTGCCCTCCACACTCAGGCATCAGCAGATCCCACTCAGCCTGGCACTTGCAACTGCACAGAAGGGGATGCCAAAGAAATCCCTCAGCACAGACTGCAGAGGAGTGCAGAAAGCCACCATGACACTCTGAGGTGTATAAAACACTGGGTGGAGGAAACACAGGGCATGGAGGAGCAGAGGGAGGTTTTATTTGACAGTACCATGAATTGGGCTGAGACCTAGCAACAGTTAAGGGAACTTCTGGCCTATGAAACCACCTGCATGTAACAGGCAGAGACACACCTGCAATTCCTCCCTTCTGCTCAGCAGCACTTTGAAATACCTGTCAAAATCTGACTTTATTTTGATCAGCTCTCTGCCTCAGCAAATTACTGTTGGTTCAATTTGGCTTTCTGAAGTATCTTGGAATCTGAAGTATCTACACACAAGATGCAAAGAAAGGGCCACAGACTAAGCCTGAAATACTGACACACTGCATCAGGGACTGGCCTGGTTAGGCTGTTTAGTCTGTTATCCTGCTGGCAGTGGAAACAAATTAGAGATTTTTAAATCTTCCCACTCACAATAAACTAATGATGATGACGCTTCCCTAATAATGAATTTTGTGGCTCCTGCTTGGCATACTTATTTCTGGATGCAGAATGGGCATCTCCCTCCCTGCAGAGCCAAACATGCAGGGATTTGATTAAGGGGCAGGACAGGAAGCCAGATGAACTCAAACACTAACCATGAACTGAGATCAAATCTCTTGGGCAGCACCTGCAACCTCTCCAACAAAACCCATTTATTGCCCTTCCACAACTTGAACAGTTACAACTCCATGAAGTTCATTTGGGTTTTGTGGTGTGCCTTTTTTTCCAGGTGTAAGAGGGCTAATGCTCCCCAAGAGAGGAGAAAGTGAACTCTCCCATGTATGACAGAGCCAGACACCAGAGCAGAATGCCAAGGAACATGTATGTGCTCAGCTCCTCAGAATGCCACTGTGCAAAGCTCACAAACAGCTCACATCATGCTTTCACACAGCTTTGAGAACTGGTAACAGGTTGGTGCAATGGACAAGATCCAAACCACTGAATGAGCTCTAAAGAAACAGTAATGCAAGCTTCAACACTGTGCAGTGTGATGGAAATGGAACAACTGAGCAAAGCACAACTTGAAGAGGACACCATCAAACAGCGAGGTAAAGCTAAAGCTGCACATCACTGTCACATCAACATTCATCAAGGAAAAAATCAAACCCCTTTCCTCACAGTCAGACTGCTCAGAATTTACTCAAGTCACAGTCTGAAGAAATTAACAGACATGGACAGTCTATTTTACTTGCTGAGGTGACAGACCTTTCTATACTTGCCAGCATTTTCTCCTCTGCGCTGGCAATCACTGCTCCAAGGTGTGCTGGCACTGTCACAGCCCAGGAGAAGCTTCAATTACAAGTGCCGGCCAAGGAGGCACAAACAGCAGCAAGCCCCATCCAGGGACACCACCGAGATTTCCAGCCCTAGTCTAGGCAAGGCTGAGATAATGAGACACTCAGTGACACATGAGCCTGATCCAAAGTCATCTGAGGCCAGAAGGGACCTGTAATGGCAGTCCACAGGCTTCAAAGCCACATTACTCCCACAGAAATCCACGTGTATGTTGAAATTGTAAAGTACATGCAGGGAAGGTCACTACTTTATCCCTCTGAACACTTCATGTCCAGCCTCCTGAAACATTTTCTGACCTGCCCCTGACACAAAGGTTGCTGAGGGCTCCTCTGTAGAGGACATCTTTCCCCCATCCTCCTCTGTGATGTTGTAAACCACTACAGTGGCCAGACTTGCTGTCAACTCTCATCCTCTTAAAATCCAACTGCCCTGACCAAACTGCCTGATGGATAGAGAAGGATTGATTAATATGGGAGAAACTGAGAAATTTCATTTCAGTTTGACTTTTGCTGTTTAGATAGATGGTTTTCTTAATAACTAAGCTGTAGCACAGATTCAAGATCCCTACAGAACTTCAAAGATGCCTGGAGGACCAACTCATTCAGTCATAGGCACTCTCTCCAGCTGTACTTCTGGGAACATCACGTGAACTACAGCAACGTTTCCACTTCCAAAATCTGCTGCTCTATCACTTTTAACACCACTTGTTATCAGCTAAGTGAAGCAAGGCTGAAGTGTACAACACCATGGCATTTTTCCTCTTGAAACAGAAAGCTTTGAAGCTGCTTGGCAAATTCTAAGGACTTCACAGGAATTTTACAGGCATCAGTATGAAAAAAATCTATTTATGTTGGCAACAATTAAATAAAGAATTAGGCAAGTGAGACTATGAAACACAGAATCACCCCTGGTGACATGTCATTGCTCTGTCCCCCTCGTAAGTTCCAGGCGTCAGTCCCACTGACAGGGTTCAACAGGGAAAACAAGCAAAGGCTCGACTTTGCCAAGCCCAGGAATGCAGCACAAAGGCTTGCTCCACACAGCAGGCTGTGTTGCCACGACAAGGAAGACCCTGGATATGACAGCACTGCAGCTCCACTCTGCACTTGGGTGTAGTCCTTTACTCAAGAGAAAGCTGACTCCTACTGCAAGTTCTCAAACATCCCTTCTCCAGCTGCAAAACTCTTAAATCTAATTCAGAGTCCCACATGGAAACAAACACTTGCACTTCCAACACCTTCCAAGAACCATCCAAGCACTACTGATCTGAATGATGGATGTGTCTCCAGGTGTCAAGCAACAATACTTTGATTTGTGCTCAAAGGTGCCCAGGGACCATCAAGAGGAGCAGAGAACAGAGATGCAACAGCTCAAAGGACACAGAGAAATGGCTACACTGCTCAGCAGTAAACAGGACTAAAACATTCCTCTCTGATGCTGGCACAAGTGCTGGGCTGGAGACCACAACCCTGCCCTATTAACACTGGCATGGCACATGCTACTTTACTTAACCCTAGTCTCCTTTACTGAACACTGACTTATGAAGCAAGTCCACATGGGGCAGAGAGATCTATTGGTCAGAACAACCCACACACCTGGGGAGCCTCTGTACTTCTCAGACAGCCCTGAGCCTGTTATCCTACCTCAGCTTCCCACATCCTTCTCAAGCAGCTGTGCAGGGTACTGGGGAACGAGGCAATCTTTCCTTTCTTCACCAGTATCTTCAGACATACAACATTAAAAATACCTTAGGCAGAGCCCACACAGGCCTGTATCATGCACAATTACATATTATTTACTCAGACTTAGTGTCTCTCTTGAAGCATTTCTGCAGGATTTGCCTAACGACCAACCCAGCTCTTCGCACACACTCACAGTTCTGACCCAACTTCCATTAAAAACGCTGCCAGAAACGAGCGAAGCGGAGCTCGGCACGTGCACAAAGGGGCCAAGCACAAGGGCCAAACCCACCCAACCCACACGATGCTCTGGGAGCGCAGCAGCCCCAAGCGTTAGCGAAGCCCCGCGCCGCCGGCACAGCGGCCGCACCTCTCTCCGTTCCCGAGCCGTCCGTTCCAGCGGGAGCCCGGCTCTGACGCGGCCCCGGCACCGCTCGGCGGCCCCAGGGCGGGGGGCCGAGGGGCGGCCCCGCTCCAGGCCCCGGCAGCCCCGGTCCCACTGGACCGCCCTCCCCTGCCCTTCCCGAACCGCGCCGCTGCGAGAGCCGGCACCGCGCCGCTCCCGGCCGGTACCGCGGGCGGCTCGGCTCGGCCCCGCCCCGAACCGCGCTCCCCGCGGTCACCCGGCGGCGGCACCGCACACAAAGCCCCCCGGCCGCGAGTTTCCCCGCGGCGCCCCCGCGGTGCGGGCGCGGGCGGTACCTGCGGGGCGGGGGCGGGGGCCGGGCGGACGCGCTCCCTTCTCCCTCTCGCGTCTCCCTCCCTCAGTGCCGGCGGCGGCGGCGCCCGCTCCGCTCCATGGCCGCGCGCGCGCCCCGCTGACCACGGGAAGAATGGGGGATCCAGCGCGCAGGCGCCGCCCGCGCCCGCCCCGCCCCGCCCCGCGCGCCGGCGCGGCACCGCCCTGCGGCCGCTGGTACCGCGGTGAGGTCAGCGCGCGCCGTGCGCATGCGCCGGGACCGTTATCGCGCGCCCGGTCGCCATGGCGACCCCGCCCGCCGGGAGCCGGGAGCGCGGACGCGCGTGTGCCTGGGAATGCCACTCGTATTCCCGGGAATGCCACTCGCGTTCCTGGGCATGCCACGGTATCGTTCCCGCCGACCGGCCTCCAACCACTGCCGCGCCCCCGGCTGCTGCTCCGACCGGGGACAGGCCGGAATGCTTTGAGAGGAGCCTCGCAGGCTGCGCGCGGAGCGTGAGGGCTCAGCGCCGCCGCGGGCCCTGGGCGCGCTGCCCGCCTTCGGGAGGAGCCGCAGAAACACCGGGTGCGGCAGCCCGGACGGACCGACCGCAGCAGGACACCCGGGCCGACATCCCTGCTCCCGCAGGGCCGTCCCACAGCACAGGCCACGGCATTGTGCCGGGGCAGCGCTGGAGTGAGGGAAACTCCGCACTGTGTCTGGACGAGCTGTTCCAGTGCGCAGTCACTGCACGCCGGAGAAGTTCTTCCTCATGTTCAGGCAGAAATTCCTGTACATCAGTTTCTGCCTGTTACCTCTTCTGTTGCCGGGCACCACCGAGCAGAACCTGGATCCATCCTCTTGACATCCCCCTTTAGATATTTATACACATGGATGAGGTCCCCTCTGTCATCTCAAGGCTGAACAGCCCCAATCCTCTCAGCCTTCTCTGATACCAGAGATGCTCTAGTCTCTTAATGATCTTTGTTGTCCTCCCACTAGACCCACTCCATGTCTGGTTTTTGCAGCCTTAGTTTAAAAGCTGCATTTAAAAGCAACAGCATCTTTCTCCTTCATGGAAAAAATTGCAGTACACCCACTCTATAACTGAGGTGAGAATGGGAAATAAATGTCCTGTGCAGAAGCTCTTTACCAACGTGTATTTGGCCATCTTGTTCCCTGGGCTCATGACTGCTGTTCTCCTGTTGGTTATGGGGAATGAACCTCCACATCTCCTCAAACCACCACTGTCCTCGTCCTCAGTGCTGCAGAAAGCAGCTGACCTCCATAACACTGCAGCTCCCAATGAGCACCGAGACTGAGCCATCAAAACGTGGGAGAGCAGCACATGGAACAAAGGATCGATTTTCATTCATAACTTTGTGAAATAATAACGCCCTTCTCCTCGGCTCACAGCTCTGCCACAGCAGGGACTTTTGGTAAGCTCCCTCCAAATAATCCAAGATTTTCCAGCTTGTTCTTTTTTGCCGTCGGGTTGCAGAGCAATACCTACCTGCTGCTTTGGGTGAAGCCATCGGCACAGGCCGAGCATGGTCTGGAACAGGCTGCACAGATGTCAAGGGAAAGCTGGGGATATTAGTCCTTAAAAGGATGCCAGGTCTGAGTGAACTGAAAGCAGGTGATTACAAACCAGCTTTAGAAATTACCATGGTTCTCACCCCCGGGCAGTAGCTAATCTCCTGAGAGCCCTAACTGGCTAAGCACTACCCACAGCATAGCCTGTGTGCCGGGTGTTTCCTCTCCCTGGCTGGGCAGCTCTGCAAACAGGACTCCTCCAGAGTTTTGCCCTTCTCCTGTTTTGCAGTTCCCAACAGCAGCTGAGGCCAGAGATCATGGATCCATTAACAAAGGACCAATAATTCCACTTCATCTGGATCTGCTAGAACTACAGGCAAAGTTCTCTCAGAGTCTAAATAGTTCCTGCTCTGTTCCTAAAATACCTTCACAAAACACCTTGCTCATTTTGAGTGAGAAAATGAGATAAAAACAGAATTGTAGTAAGTTAGGTGAATTATGATAAGCAATATTTTGTTTAGTTTTAGTAAGAAATCAATAACTTTGTATCACACATTTATTATTGCATGTCACACATTTGCTGTGAATTTATTCTCTTCAGTATTACAATGAAGAGGCATTTACTTTGGAAATCCCCCAAAACTGCCTTCTGATATAATTGTATGTTTGCTCTTTTTTCACAGATTGTTTCTTCTGGTGATTCTACATTCACTGCTTGGCAGGCTAAAGCTTTGTAAAGAAATGCTGAGAAATGCAACTGACATAGGTTAAAGTATTTTTTTTCTCCACTCCTAGGTAAAACTTGCACAGAAAATATTATTTTTATTCTCTCTTTTGTTGCAAGACTTCAGGGGACAACAACTGCATAAAACCTAGAAGCTTTCTTGTGCAACTGACAGATTGTGGACATGGTCTTTATGCATTTTCTTCACATTTTTACTTTAAAGCAGGTAAAGTCTGCACAGAAATAAATTTGTCACATAATCAGCTCTAATATTTGGATTTTTTTCCCTGTTGCTACATGACTGTTTCCTTGCTCCCTGCAGAGACTTTCAGAGCAGTTTATGCCTATATTCACGACATTGTTCCATGAGCAGCAGCACTAATGATGCCTGGTTCCTCATAGGTCTGTGTTCTTTGTCCCTCTAATCCACCCTGCTCTCTCAGCAGCCCTACCTTCCTTTGTGTCCTGTGCCACTCCCCTGCAAGGGGACACTGTGGCACGGTGGGGTTAGTCCAGGGCTGTATCCCCGTGCAGATGGGAGGGCAGCCCTCCATCACAAGGGATCAACCACGCCCGAGCTCCCTCCTGCCTTCCCCTGAGACTGGCAATGATTATTTCTCTCTTCTATTCTCATGAAACTTGAGATTGTTTCCTCCCCCCCAAACACTGAGAAGGGAAAAGGAGGGGGTTAGCCTGACAGCTGAATAGAAGCGGACAGACAGACTGGTCACATAAGCCTTGTTTTCATTAGGAAAAGAAGTCGAAAATACATTGTAACCTGCAGGTTTTCTTCCAACTTTTTAAAAGCAGGAGGTGGAAGCATTCTTCTGATTCTTGGCCTTTAGGTTTCTTAACATTATTCTGAGCATTCTTTAATTCTGCTCTCGATTCCATGGCACAATGCATCAGCTTTCCCAGGGCCATCACTCTGCATTAGTTCTGGCACACCTGTGACAAGCTGCACATCCATTGCCTGCGACAGTTCCCAATGGAAACACCATGAAGGCATTGCAGGATACCCCAAGGGCAACTAGATCCAAGCTCCTGCATGGAATCCAGTCTGCAGGGACACCTCAGCTTCTCCAAAGTTATGGTTAGGTAACAACTGTGCTATTGCTAAGGAGCCCTTGGGGATTCATCCTGGGCTGCAGAGAGGACTCTCCAAATGAAGGAAATGGAAGTCACCACTGGAGGAGCTGCTGCCATCACATGAGAGTGCTTGACCAGGCCTTCACTACCAGTGGCTCAGCAGCAGGCATTTGGCAGTTCCCCTATCTATAACATACCTAAAAAAGGTACTTTTTACTATGCTCTCATTTCTCAAAGATCTCCATTTACCTACCTGTCTCCAAAACAAAGAGGCCAGTGCAGCAGAAAAGTCTCCTGAGAAGATACTGCTCCCAGTGAAGCTGCAGGCAGCTCTCTAATCAGACCACTGCAAAGTACACTGTTCCCTGCTTGCTGGGAAAGGTCTGGTTGGACACAAGGAGCTGTGTGCTTATACACATGCAAAACAAAGCACAGCCCATGTGCAGGGTGAAGAAAGAGATGAACTTATGGACATCTGCAGCAAGGGCACAAAACGCTTTCAGTAAGGGCAAAACAAAGTCAGAAATTATTTATTTCTAAAATAAAGAAATGTAAGGATATTCTAGCTTTCAATTACAAACACTGCTCTTTCAAATAAAAACACATCGTCAGAACTAGTGGGAAGCAGATGGATGGACTATTTCAGCAGAAACACTGACTATACCTGAATGACCTGCTCTTCCCTTTTCCTTCAGGGCCTTTTTGCACATCTGCTCAGGAACCTGAGAGCCTGGTGCTTCAGGGAGAAATGTTTTTATTTATGAATGACAGTATGATGATGTAGCTGCCCATAACAGCAGAGGACAACAGTGTGAAAGCCTGGCTGTCCTTGGGTTGCTTTCCTAGAGCTGAGCACAGTGCTATGCAGACTCAGCCACATTTCCTTTATGTGCTGTCCCAACTTGACTGCTTGTATGGCTAAGGGGCAGAACAGCTTCATTTGACTCATGTAGCAATGGACCTCTCCCTTTGCCATCTCCTGGCACTTACATCTCCTGCACAGCCTTGGGCCATGCTGAGGAGAAGGCTGGACTGCTGTTGGCACAAATACCATGGGCCAACATGAGGTGATGTCCAAGTACCCAACTTCTGAGTGCTGCTGATTCTACTCTGGCACAGATCCCCAGTGTGACTCACCTCTTCTACCCCTCACCTACCTGGGAAACAGGGAATAAACTCCTCATCCATGCTGCATGAGAACAACACTTGAGACAGGGAAAGCACAAGTACTTCAGATCAACGTGAAATTTAACAATTCCTCGTTCTTCCCTTTGCACATGGCAGTTGTCACAGCCCCAGATTTGAGCATTTCCAGCTCACACAATGTGCTCCTGCACCGCTATCTTTAATTGGCACTTTCCTGCCAAGCCTCAGCGTTTTGCATCAGACTTTTTCCACGTGAGAGCTGCCACGAACAAAGCATCCCACTGACCCACTTAACTCCCACGTGAAGGCACACGAAGCTTCGCTTCAGTCACCAAACAGAAAAGAAAACACAAGAGCAGAAGGTTTTGATTAAAGGGAAATGAGCAAATGGCTTTAAGGCCCATGGAGTGCACACTGGCTCGTCTACATGTGCTCACTCCTTGCAGACATTTGGCCACCCAAGGAGAAACATCCTGCACAAAGCAGGTAGTCCTCAGGCAGTGTCAGTTGGGTTGGATTCGAGATTTCCCGTTGGCAGGAAGGTCCTGTGAGCCATGCGACATCCCCACAGGCTTCTTGCCCTGACCTGGAGTGACTGCCTCCAGGAAGGCAGGGAATGCTCATTCTCCCTGACCAAAC